CCTCAGGCTGGGCCGCATCGCTGCGGGCGCCAGGGAAACCCAGCCTCCCGCTGTCTCATGCGCTCTATCTCCACGGAAAATATGAACCTCTTTGGGCCACGTCCAAACGCAGGGGATTCCATTGTCCTGGCTTCCGCCCCGGCCCCGGGGGCCCGGCCGCGCCTGGCCTTTCTCCAGGCTCCACAGGTCTTGGGACAGCCCTCCCGGAGCCTCAGCCCAGCCCCTGCTGGCCGGGGAGCTGGACCCTGGGCAGCGCCTGGCCGGGCCCCTCCCCCTCCATTCTAGATGCTGCCAAGGAGCTCAGGCCTGCGCCCAGGCTTCCCCCTCCCAGTTCACTCACCAACTCTGCTTCCCCGGAGGGAGGGAGGGAAGGAAGGAGGGAGGAAGGGAGGGAGGGAGGGGAGGAGGGAAAGAGAGAGGGAGGGAGACCCCAAGGGAGGCCCTTTCCCATGCATCCTGTTGGGGGGTGTGGGGTACATTTACATAACCGTTTTAACCATTTTGAGTCTAACTCAGTGGCATTTAGCACATTCACAATGTTGTGCGACCATCACCACTATCTCTTCTGGAAATATCTTCGCCACCCGGAAAAGAGACCCCACACTCACTGAGCACTCACTCCCACCCCTCGCCAGGCCCGCAACCTCTGACCCACTCTCCGTCTCTCAGGAGGTGCCCGTTCTGGACGCCGCAGTGAACGGAACCCCACTGCCCGTGGAGGGAGGTCTGCGTCCGGCTTCTCACTCAGCACTCTGTGTTCCAGGCGCCCCGTTGTAGCCAGTCGCCCCCCCCCCGTCCTTTTCACGGCTGCATAGTACTCCTCGTGGCTGGACCGCCAGGCGCTTCTCCGATCGCCAGCTGATGGGCACGCGGGCCGTTTCCACCCTCTGGCCAGTGCGGACCGCGCTGCTGCGTCCTGGTATTTCACATGCTTCCCTCGTTCCTGTGAGCTAAGTATGACTGTCCTCGCTGTAGCCACGAGCAGGCAAAGCTCCCGGAGGACCTGAGCCGAGCACATGGTGTAGATCCGTAAACAGAAGAGAAAGGAGGAGCCTGGGGAGCGGGAGGACGGGGCCCAGGGTGGAGCGGGCCTGGCCCCAGGCTCAGGGCTCTCGGCCGGAGACGGCCAGGGTTGTCCTTCCTGTCCTCGCAGATGGGCCTTCCGGTCCCTGGTGGGAGCTGGGATGCTGTAGCTGCTGTCGTCGCCTGGGGCCACTTCCTTAGCTGGGAGAGACAGAGCAGTTCCCCACCTGTCACCTCCCCCTGAGTCACCCCTGAGTCATCGCGGCTCATCCCTGTGCCCCAGTCCGTGCCCGGCACTGCAGACCCAGTCGTCTCTGACTCTCGGGCCGCTGGTGCCCTGCTTCAGATCACCCAGTCTGTGGCCTGGTTGGAATCTGGTTCCCTAACTGGGTGGCAATCTCATGCCTTCGAGCAACGGCGCGATCTGAGCCTCAGTTGCTCCATCTGTAGAATGGGACTAAGGCCAGACTCCAGCCACACATCCAGGCCAGGCAGGAAAACCAGGTCTCAATGCTGCAGGCAGAAGGAGGGGCTTTCCCTGCCCCCCATCCCTGGCACCCTCTCGCTCACCCTCACCCCAGTGTGCAGTTCAGGGACAGGAGTAGGGACGCTGCCCTGAGCTCACACGGCTGCTCGCGTGGGACTGCAGAGCCCCTGGCCCTCCCAGGAAAGCTCGTTCCCGGGCTTTTCAGTCCCACGGGGACTTTCCCACCAGCTGTGGACCCCAGGCGGCAGCAGGCTTGGGGCTCAGGGTCCAGATCGGGGCCCCAGTGGGCTCCTCCCGGCCGTGCGTGTGCACTGGCTCCCTCCTCTTCTCCACCTGCACCCCGTTATCG